TGGGAATGAGCTGGAGACTACGAGTGGTGATCTCAAGGTAGTAGGAGGCACAGACGAGGATGAAAATTGGCATACCGCGGAAAAGAAAATTCACTTAAATGGGATCACGAGCACTTTGGAAGCTAAGTCGTCCTCAGCAAGCTCGGACACAGTTACGGGTGTGAGTGACTACGATTTGGACACAGAAGAACACCTAACGACTATAGCGACAGCGGAAATGGCTACTGGGGCCCCTGACATTACTTTTCCCGAGGATATATTAAAAAAACACCTTTTTACTGGACTCTGGACTCTGGATGACCACACTGCCAGCGGTGACAGTGAATCTTCAGATTCACATGTACAAACTTCACAAGGTGAGAAGGGATTTGAAGACTGAACTAGTGGTGCCACTAAAGGTGCTTGCTTTTCGGACAGAGGTCTTCCTCCCCAAGCGGGGAATCATAAACGTCTTGTGGTCCCGTTTGAATGGTGACCGAATTGAATTAATTTTTCCATCGGCTTGATTTCGGAGGAAATCATCTAGGGAGTGTCAGGATACTCACATCTAGCATTAAAATAATTTATTGTGAAGGCTCTTGGTTAACTGTTTAGCTTTGGTCTTCCTTTTAGTTACAGAATCCACTGGGACTGAAGTGTCTCTGATCGTTGAAAACGGATCGTGTAAGTTCACCGTTTTCCCCTTTTGGATAAAGTCAAGGCGATGTCTACCACTGTTGAACTCTGAGACTTTTTATAAGCCCATTCATTTCCACTTTCCTACATCCGAGGTCTAACCACGCAGTGGGTACACACAGGTGCCCAAGCTGCCATGGTAGTGAAGGTTAAGTTTGTTGTCGCTCTGCTGATTTTGACACAGACAGCTAGTAGTAAGAAAGTATTTTTTTTTCTCATATTAGCTACCGAACTGCAGCCCTCTTCAACGACTCAGGAGACTTCACAAAACCCTGGTACGCTTTGAACTGTTCTGCACGTTGAGCTAAACAGAGATGGCAGACACATTTTAGTCATAGTTTCTTGAGGTGCCTAGCTGCGCTTACTGTTTCCCTCTTCCCTAGCTGTTGCTGAAACCCCAACAACAGTTGTACCGAGCGACGAGGTAACAGGCACAGTGGATGAGACAACATCAGGCAAGTTGTTTTCCGTACACATAATCCTTTGTATAAAGAGTCCAGCAATTAGTATTTCTCACTGAAATCCATTGATCAAATTATTAAAACGTCCTTCTTGCCCCTAAAATTACCTTCCTAGCTAAAATTGAGGCCTCAAACTAGACCTTGTCTGACAAGGTGCACGGAAGTGAGTCACCGTGCATTCATGTAAGATGGGACCGGTGGTGGGTGGCAAGGGAGGTCTATTTTGACCATGAAAAGCTGACGAACTGTCTTCCACTTTGGCCACCTGAAACAGCAACTGACTAACCCCCGTTTTTACATTGGGGACCCGAAGCGCACTAATGCACTATTGATTAGGCTAAAGTGCAACGTTTCGATTTTCTGTTTTAGGGGAACAATTTTCTACTGATTTCGAATATAGCACGGTTGAGAGTGCGACTACTGCAGCAGGAACTCTGGAAGGCCTAACCCCTCAACCCCACGGCAGTAAGTTGAAAAGGTGCTAATTGTCTTGTATTTTATGAAGTTGGATAAAATGTAATTTGCGTAGTTGTTTTAACACCACGTTGCAAATTTGAGACAATAACTTGCGTTTTAATGGGTTGATGGGTATTGATTGCTGAAGCCCCAGAAGACGAAACCTTTCATTCACCGCGATAGCTGGTACTGGTTAATCTCCAGGAAAACGTCAAAAGGAAATCTTTGGAATGAGATCATCGGAATGACTTCATTTTTCGTTGGAATTGGTGTTATAAAGTGTTGCATATTGTTGGAAACTACCATTCCGAAACTATAATTTGGCAGGGCAGGGTTGACTTGCGATAATCATGGGGCCTTCATTGCGGATTCTGTTTAATAGTATCTTTTAAATTAGATAATCACGAGCAAACCCTCGAATTATCGACGGCGAATCCTTCTGTTGCCAGTCCGGTAGCTGACATTAGTGGTAAGTTTGCATTCCCTCAAGATTTGTCCATGCCATTATGCAGTGTTTGCGGTCATGACGGATTAGTCACCTCCAGATCGCAAATCAACTTTTTCGTTACAACACTCCAAAACCCACTCCGTCTTTCATCTTCTTCAACGCTCATTTGTGTGAATCATCGGGGCGATGTTCTCTAGGTGAGAGGGAATGGGTGGTGCGCTGTTCCTGTCTTTGTGATTTTTTTGCACAAGAACTGAAAGGATTAGCAGCTGGTCTTTTTCACTCTTTCTACATCAAAATGTAAACAAAAGATCCCAACTGATATTACTGGTCGTTGTGTGCAAGATATATCATTTACGCCTTTCTTCAATTTTTTTGTCTTTAGTAAACAGCACCACCCGGATTGGCATAAATCTTCATCTTAAAACTGGATTAAGGTGATTGTTTTGCAAACATCTAGTGTGTGGACACCAGTGGCTGCAGATTGGCTTTTATTTTTACTTCTGGTGGACGTGAACTGGGCAGAGATTGCTGGAATGATGATTGCTTTCCTACCACCTCTCTTCGATATCCGCGGTAGCCGATTTCGATCTCCATTCTGCCTTTCTAAAATAGAGAACTTTAAGAATGAGGGGTCCCTCGGTGATGGAATTGATAGTTTTTATACACCATATGTACATTGCATTGAAACGCTATTTTTACTTTGTCTTTTCAACCCCTGGTATCACTTTGTTAAAGGTAGCGTCGTCTAGTCACTTTTGCTTCGGAACGCAGAGGATTCTAAGCAGTCGCCTTTCCAGTGAATTGTCACACGTTCGAATAAAATTTGACATTCATTTTGTGTAGCAGCGTCAGATTGTAATGCTTTCAGGGTTTCGTCTCGATAAATGTCGGATTTTTCCGGCCTCCCGCCCTTTCGAAATTCCTGCGTAAGGCTACAGGCAGTTCACTGTTAACTACTGTCCCTTCAGAGTCTTTTTTTTTCGACCCATTTTTGGTGAGAGGTCTTTTTATAGTGACTAGGCCTCTTGTGCTCCCGTGAGTGGGTAGGGTCTAGAATCTTTAATGAGCGCTTAAGCATGAGAATAATGCGATGAGATCCTACAAGTATGCGAAATCTACTCGTCTTTGAATCATTCATTCGATTCTTCATCCTTCCTCTCTAGTTGTGCTTAAATACGTCTCTTAGTAACCACTTGGTGCTGAAAAAAGAATTGAAAGAAGTCAATGTGCTGGTCCTGAGGTCATCGCTGTACAAACCATTATCGGCTGCAGCGAAAAAGTGGACATTGCAAAGCCTAATATGCTTGAGGTATGGTCAAAGCAGAACTACGTCGAAGAGAGTGAAGAAGGAATGAAAGTCGGGTCTTTTCCTTCATTTAAACATTGCCAGCTGTATCATCAGATATGCAGTGTTTCGTAAATCCGCGCATTGGGAGAGAGGAAGTGAGTAATTCTGTGGCACAGACATGCATCACAGTGCATTAAGAATGTCTAGTCGTATGTTAGGCTGATGAAGGCGTTGCCACATGTTCTGTCCTATAAGACTTTTCATGAAACGAATGGAATTGGCTTCTCTTGCTCGAACGTCTTCCCTTGTGTTAAGACCTACAACTATCCACCAGCCATCCATTTACTTCCTCGTGCACTCGTTCATCCTTCCGCACGGTCTCCGCCCATCCGTCTATTCATGGGCAGATCGGCAAGCCCTCAGGCTGTCCAGATCCCCAACCGATTATAAGCTTATTCCGTGTGGCTGTAAAATCAGTTAGCACATTCACTCTCCATTTGTCATGTCCCCTGTTTTCGTTTATTTATCTCTGTTCATGATGCCTTATCGCCCTAATTATGCGGTAAAATTATGCTGTTTTGATGGAGCTTTTGGTCATTTGGACCCACGATCCATGTTGTGTTGAGGATGAGTTGACAAAATGTGTGGTTCACATTTTGTTTCGAGGTTGTATCATGGTGCATGTGCATTGCCTGTCTTTTGTTTCGCGTGAGAAGGAAAAGGCAACCCGAAATCGCCAAACGTGTTATTTTATCTCTGTAAAAGAGAGCTTCGATATCGCGTGCACTCACGTACATACGCATTCAAAGGGCGAAAATGTGAACGTAGAAACACACACAGGATAGATTTTCCGAATTGGCTTAACATCGTAGAGGCAGAAAACTCAAAATTTTTGCATCATAAGGGGCAAGCCTCTGAAGCTAGTCATGGGTCGACTACTGCATCCTCCACCTTGGGTCAGTTCAAAGTCAATTTTGCTAGTTAAAATTTTATGGGAAAGTGTCGGCTACTTGAGTTAGGGATGCACACAGGAGAAGAGAACAAGAACTTTTCTGAATAAGCGCAGATAACCTGCCTTCTATACTACCATCTTTTTTACCGTAGATTCAACTCTGTCGGACAAGGAGACGTCCCTCACACCTAATGAAGAACTTGAAGAAACAGATCCTACCACTCCCACTGAGGGTGCGCTGAGAAATCTACAACGCTTTTTATTTGCTTAAGCTGTTAGTCAGAGAAAGGGTAGAAGTGGATCATCTGAATGACACTTTCTTTCCATCTTACAGGAGGTCTCTCAGATGGCGTTGCCGCGGCTGCTGCGTCCGTCAACGGTAGGTTGCCCTCAATCATCAGTTTGTTAGCCAATGAGACGTAAATTCCTACCGGCGCACACTTTAACATTGCCAATAACTTGGAGGAACACAGTATTGTGGTCCTAACACCAAACCAATAAACACTATCCCCTTGTGGGTCAAAAAGTTGCCCACTTCATGTTAGCGTCAAAGTGGGAAAGTGTCTGTAGCCGAAAATGAGGATGAGAGGTCTTAAAACCTTTTCGCCAAATTGTGCGCTAAACGGGCAATTTTAAGTACTGGCAGAAAACTTGTTCACCAGCTCTGGCATTTGCCCCAATTAAGGGAAATTAAATTATGCTGTCTAAAGTTGGGTGTTTTATGAGGTTCAATTTAGCTGGCTTAATGTCATTTTTGTTTTACCGTTTTGCATCGTAGTGTCTACAAGTGAGGCTTCATCAATTCCGTCGAGTTTGTCATTCTCGCTCGTCCTTCTGTTCTCTCAGCTTCTCCTCCGCGTGTAAAATCTGGTAACTTGAAGCCGTCAATCGCGAACGATTGTTCATGCCTTAAGACTTCCACACCCTCAGCACTCGCAATAAATACTCATGAGGACTAGGCTATTTGGGGACTGCATTGCCTTCAGTGATTGCTCTTCCACGCTGGCGTGGAGGATGGTGTCATGCATTGCATTGCTTAGGACTCACTTGTAAGCTTGTTTTAGTCCTGACTTCTACTCCATGAAAAAAATCACTGACATGCAATCCACAGTGTGCAAAGGGCACCGACATGTTTAACATCGGTGATGTCACGGCTAAAGTTCACCTTTACATGACCGAACTAGACACTGATGAATGGCCAAACAACTGTGACCAAAGTTAGCATCCATTAAAAACGTGATTTTATCACAATCGGATCTGAGAAAGTGCAGGACACAAAAGGTGGGCCAAAATTGACGCCACAGTCTTGCGATTTGTAAACGTTTTCCCTTTTTTTGCTTTTTGCGAAGTAAAAAGTGTTAAAGGTGGTTTGAAAGGGATAAACAGAAGGTGCGACTTGGATAAATCGTTTCTTGAGTCGCGGTTTGTATAAGGAGGAGATGTGTTTTAGGCAATCTGTTTTGAGGAAAGTCGCATCCTTCGAGCACTTCCGTTGCCGTCACGTCATTGCGATGTGCCCCAACAAAATTCGTTACAAGTTAATTAACGGTGCGTTCATTTTTTTTTTGTAGAATCTTGATGTCCACGAGTTTGTTACTCCAAAACATTTTAGAATTCGAATTCTACCCTCCCCCTCAAACATTTCTGTACCTCCTTGATGAAATTCCGGCCCTATTAAACCAAAATGCCATTTTTTTCTGTGATAGGAGCAAAATCTGAACACTCAATACAACTAGCAAGCAACCCATTTCTATGATTCTATGAATTGGTGAACACACTACTTATTAGAGGCAACGGTTTGTGAGGACTCATAGGTTAGTGCTACGGTATTCGACATTCGAAAGCCTTGGGAAGAGGCGAGGGTGAACTTTTGCTCAGTTTCTTCATTAACAAGTTGCTATTTGACTGGAAGAAAGGCGATTGTCATCGACACTAGGGCTGTGACGTTTGGTGGTCGTGCCTTGGACACATTGGGCTTTTCCTCTTTGGACTGCTTCCGTTGTGACTTCTACCACAGCGAGGTTAAAGTTACGTCGATAGCGTCCATGTTTGCGGGTTGTTAGTCAAATATGAAATGCACTAAGTACTATCGAGATTACATTTCTCCTAGGAGGCGAAAAGGATGCCTGAGCATAGGTTGGATTGCTGGGACATCCCTTGTAATTACGTCAATTAAACACCATGTCATCGAAATGGTGAAGGCCAATACGGGTCTGAAATTCTTGTGTGGTGAACCGTATTACAAGGTTTGTGGTCAAGTTCAATCAAACTGCTACAGTTGTGGTGAGATTGATTACTGCAAATAAACTACATGGGATTTTTTTCCGTCGAGAAAAAGTTAATAAAATGAGAGGTCGTCGATATGTCCAAGGGCATGATGGCGTGTCCTGGGCGCCATCACCGTGTCCAGAATACAAGTCAAAATAATTTTTCTACTCTAAATTGCTCAGTAGGAGTTATTTTTATAGTGACGAAGGGCGCAGGAAGTTCAGTTCGGCTTAGTAAACTGTGCACGCGATCATTTTGACAGGCGTATGATTGTGTCCTTGCGATTTCTCTTCCGTTAAAGCTTTATTAAAGATTCACAACGTTTTGTCCCATCATCGCATAGTCTTTGTTGCAGCTGCGGTCTAGTCTTGAACGGTAATTGTAAGCGACCCCACGAAATTCAAAAATGCTTCGGTACAATGTAGAACCTTTGCAAAAGTATAACATCTCTCGAGTTTAATTATAAAATTTTAAGGCTAATACAACTTTTCAAATAAGTTAACTTCACTTATTTTTTAAAATATATAAGCGAATGTTGCCTTTCAAAATAAATCCTCACTTGTGGTTCCCAATAATAATTTAATGTAATGAAGTAATTAAATTAAAAGATATGTTGGTCTTGGACCTGCCCAATGTGGATGAGTGTCCAGTAGGCACGCCATAAATGCCGTACTTGGACGCAAAAATCTGAACGAGGGGAACCAGGGCCAACATGGCGCTAACTAACAGGTGTACAAAATCAACACGAGACCTCCTTCCACCCCTCCAACCTTTCATTGTTACCATGACTGACCTCGGGTACTACTCTGCCTTGTAATTAAGCATTTTTATGCACGCAGACAAACAAAAGCAAGCCTGTTACAAACACCTAAGAGTTAACTGCCACTACAAGAGTATCCAGAATTCTGAAATCCCATAATGGCAAGAAAGAGACTAACAACAGATTTCCAGAGGAAAGGAAGACCAACCACTACGGCCTACCTGGAAGTAAGAATGCAAAATTCGAAGGCATTGCGCACCTCTTAACACAGCAAAATGTTTTTCTTGTACTTGCTAGAAATTAGTCAAGTTTTTTACTCGACCTCCATGTCAAATACATGGAGCTTAAATCTGCTAAGCCTGAATACAAAGGTTTCAAGGCATGTTCACGCTCCCGTCTTAACTTACCTTCAACTACTTGAGGAGGTTGGCATAATAAATCTACTAGCATCGGTAAAAAAATTATTTCAAACTCCTTATTGAGGAAATCTTCCCCATCCTTGGGTTAGAAATCGCTTTAGTTGCATCGTATGGGTTAAAGTAAAAGCAGAAGGGTATGCTATAGCTTTTACCCTTTCTTCGTCCTTACCCCACAGTAGTGCCGACAGCATCACCACAGTCACAACCCTTAGATTGCCTGTTTGTAGGACCAAAAAATGGGGGAACAGGCGGCTCGCACAGGCTTCAAATTAGTCATGGAGAGCTGTATCAATGAGGTAAGGCAAGAGACGGAGAGTCTTGAAGGTAGCGAGAGACCGAGAGCGAGAAGGACGTTCAGGAGGGAAGAGACGGGAAAAAAAGCACCTACTTCTTTTCATCCAACCCTTTAATTTTTTCCGTAAATCCTAACTTTCTTGTGCTTGTCTTTTGTCACCTCTCTGGTTGGAATAGCGTTGAAATGCCAAGACGCTTCTTTGTGCCGATTTTGAAGTGATGCTTTCGGCTCAACCCTTCACGCTCCTCCCACTTTGTTCCCGTGGTCTAGTCATAAGGCCTTGGCCGGTCGGTGTAAGGCTTCGCTTAATCCCAACATCCCTTGTTTAAGGACTCCTACGAGGGCGATTTCCCTTCCCCTCTTCTTCAGTTTGTCATCTTAGAGCCTAAAGCCGCATGAAGATGATAACTCGTCTTTGAAAATAACTCAGGGTTGGTGTACAGACACGTTAAGGGAACTTATGTTTTGGATTCAATCGTTACAGGAGACCGGTTAATCCTTCAGTTCCTCAGACTGGAGCGAGGTGATGAGACACGACAGGTATCAGTGACAAAACAAAAAAACCTTCTTGGCCTTTCTTTTCAAAGTATGAGTGGACTTAGCCATCAATCAAAGAGTCCTCCATGTGGAATGTCAACAGCCAGCAACCAGACGTGGAAGTCAGAGTTGTTCATCGACTGCACCGCACTTGTTCGTCAGTGCTACCAACACGAGGCGCTGAAACAGTTCCCTAAAAAGCATGCAGCCTTGACGATGTACCGATGAGGTAGAAAGCCACTCCTGACACCGTGTTGTTTTGAAGTAAATCCATTAAGCACTCAATTCTCTCTGGTTGTATCCAGCAGGTCCCTTTTATTACTGCCCTCCAATTGCAGGCAGGAATGAGCCGATAGTGAGTTCAAACAAGCAGAACGGCTCTCCTCAGTTGGTCAATTACTTGGCCAACTTTGATAATATAAGGAAGAATGACACACACTTCAGGTGGCTGTTTCTATGGTGCCCTACAACAGAGGAGGTAAAACTGCCAGATGTGGGAGCCAAGCGTCCCGACATCTCAGTGCCGTGGCCAAATAACGCCGCCTTTATATCACTGCTGGTGAACAAATAGGCAGCAACGAGGTGATTTTGGCTAACGGCGAGGAAGTGTATCTGTTCCTATTCAAGCATTTGTCCCACAGCATTTGTCCATTGTGAAGCCTCTGATGCAGTGCATCTCCCTTCTTCGCCCTTTGGTAAGACTGTAGATGCAACAAAATTGAATGGCCTAGGTACTGTGCTGAGGTAGACCTAAAACGCCTCTGTTCCTTCATGACTACCTTTACTGTCCTGTTGAAAAAGAGAAGTGATTGCGGATCCTCATACCAATCTATGCCGGTTAACTACACCCGACTAATGTGATTTCACCCCCATCGTTTGCACGAAAAATTAAGTCGTTCCAATCCCCTAATCGACCTCCTCAGATGGTTCAACAAATTAGGCGATTTGCATCAATTCTATCCCGGAAATAATGCACATTTTTGTGCTCATACGACTGAAAACAACTACATAAACAGTGACAAGAGCCTTCACAAATGACGTATCAGCGATGTACATCTAAGCCAAGCGTTTAGAGTAACATGAGATTTGACAAATGCCACCTCTTCCGTCTCTCCAACATTTCTGGACTTGAGTTAGGCTCCTG